ATGATATCTTATTTCCATCATATAAACATATACCATAACCAATTGCACATATACATATCATGTCATGTAACCATATATATACTATCATAAAACACGTACACTCAAGCAACTATATTATCATCTTCATTTATTCTATTTTATCACTATCATTGATTCCTTTCATCATATGGTCTTATAAGTTACCATTTGTACAATCAATATCACACATGAAATTCCACAAGGAAACAAATATATTATCATGTCACTTTATTAATATTATCTATTTAATAGCCCATGATATACATGTGAGAACTAAAGATATGCGAGTACATAGAGGTTGTGCACTAATGTTGTCACCACAGCTCATATAATTGCACCGAAGTGCCACATATAATTGCACCGGAGTACCGCGTAGAATTGCACTGTAGTGCCATATAATAATGTCCATAAGGACCACATATCATTCCTTAAGAATCATATACATATACTAGGGATCAAGTATGTGTCTCACCAGACTTCACACATGTTCCAAAGAATACATATATGTCCCGAAGGACCACATATCATTCCTTAAGAATCATATACATATGCCAAGGATCAAATATGTGTCTCACCAGACTTCACACATGTTCCAAATAATACATATATATCTCGAAGGACCACATAGACCCTCGACTCTTGGCATGCCAACTATACCCCTAGCTCTCATGACACATAACATGGGCATTATCTTTTATATCCTTTTACATATTCATGTAACCGTATCATATATTCATATAAGCTCATGGTTTCATTCACATATACATGTAATCATGTAGTTCATGTCAATTATTATATAAGTTCATATTCATATAAACATAGGATTCACCCTCATGTATCACATATACTTTCTCTTTCATATGGCTCATAACATTTCTCATGTGTTCATATGACATGTAAATCATTGTCGTCTTATCATGTTATCACATAAACATATCATCTTACAATACATACAAAAACACATCAATACCTATATTCATATATACCTATCATTTTATTATCCTTATTATTATTCTTATCATCACCATTAATCCCTTTTACTTACCATATTCATATCAATAACACATATACTCATGCACAAATATAAATCATAACAAATACATACTTCTATGAATTCATGTTTTTCACTATTTGAAATAGACTTATCACAAGTCTTATTTTCCCTTGAACCTCATATACTAGAAAATGTGCACTCACCTTAGCCTTGTTTGCTTTGAATCAATCTTAATCCTTAGATTATTCCGGAACAAGCTTTATTCTATATATACATCATAATAATACATTAATACATATCAGTATACTAATTGATATCTTCTAAATTGTCACTTCTTAGGCTAAAGAAAAGCCCATTTCATCTTTTAATTAAGGTATGCATCGATGCACTACTGATACATCGGTGCATAAAATGTATTTGATGTTGTATTATTACTGGGATGCATCGATGCACTACTTATGCATCGATGCACTACTTGCATTCGATGCACTACTTGCATTCGATGTATTTAAATTAAAAGAGTGCATCGATGCACTACCTGTGCATCGATACACCTTCAAATAATTTCTGGGTTTTAACCTTGATGCATCGATGCACAATGAATATGCATCGATGCACTCTACCCAGAATCTTCTTTTTGAACCCGAAAATTCATTCATTTTGGATTAAATCCTTCATATTTGATCATCTTTTTCATTCTTAACTCTAGTACACATACTTAAACCAATCTATACTCAATTATTTCATCTTAAACCTCAAAATCATATATTCCATATGTGATTCAATAATTACATCAATTTTGTAACATGTTACAAATCCAATTATATTACTTCATATCTCTTACTTAGATTGATAACAACTCAAATCCAACTTTCAATTCTTGTTATGAACTCTATTCCAATATTTCATTCAAGAACCTCTAATCTTTAATCTTCTCTATCTCCTTTATCTTTTGATCTTAAGATAACTTAAGCTTTCCCTAAGCTTAGTTATCATCTAATGATCAAAACCCAACTTTTAATTCAACAAATAACCCCAACTAATTAAGAAACTCACGTTTGAGCTGGAGCTTCACGCACAAAGAAGAAAGGAGGAGAAGAGAATTCTGGAAACATTGCTTTTTGGTTTCCTACACTCCCACGTGTAAAAATATATATATCCCCACTATCACATTTTTAATTCCTTAAATGATCAAATGACCATTTTACCCTTTAGTTCCTTTAATAATTACTAACAACTTTTAGGAAATACTTCCAAATAAATCACTGAACTAATCCATTCTTCTACTTTAGTCACCAAATTCTGAAACTTTACAATTTGATCATTAACCCATAGTTTGGGATGTTACAATCAACCTAAATGAAACACGAGGGAAATCTTGACCATCATAATTTTGAGTAACAAGCAAGCATATGTCACCTTATGATTCAAACCATATTTGGAGACAAGTGTCTTCCAGTTCTTACTCCTACAGACTTCTACAACACTTTTGCCTTTGTTTTGTACCCCCAAGACGGCTGCAACAGTCGATACCCCCAGAGGGAATGAATAATCGCCATATTTAGCAATACATTGTTTGACATCAAATTGCTCCATCAAGGATCGACATAATTCCCTCCGAATTAGTCGATCCTTTTCTCCTATCAATGATCCAAACCCCATTTCACTCAGCACATTCAACTGATCATTCTTTTTAAGGTGTTCAATTAATGAATACACCCTTTTTATGCTGCACCTTGTCGACACATCCTACATTTTTTAACAATATATAATGTTATTGTTCTTATATATCTTGTATCAACGTATTTACAAGTTTAATGAATACCTTCTTTTCATGTGCTTTCCTCGGTTCTTTGTATTCTTTACTATCATTCATTGACTGTGTGATGTAAGGTTCCTTTTGACCATCACTCATCGAATTCTATTTCGACCTCACATCTTTTGTCACCTAATATTAAGCATAAATGTTTCTTAATCAATACATTAACGCTAAATAATACTCAATGTCAATTTCATTTTACATACCGAACCCGCTGTGTGTGCCATCTTCCTTCATCCTTTTGCATTCGACATACTGTCAACATTTAAAATTTGTAATCAATTTAAAGTTCCTAAATACTTTAATCCAATTACCATTTCAACAATAATAACAAAAAGAAATTGATACTTTCTAGAAGTACATATATCCACCATTTGGTTGCTTTCCACCCATTGACTTCATTTTCATATATCATTTTACGCAAATCAAATCAATACTTGTATACAAAAATCGATAACCACTCTTGTGGTAAAACGGTTGGTCTTCAAAAGAATTTGAATGGCCACTACAACAAGTGTCGACATATTTATACAACCTAAAATATTATTTTCTACCTATAATATATATACAGGTATCCATGTTTATTTTCTACCTATAATATATAATAATCCGGTCCCAAAACCCTTATTTTAATATTAAATAAAATTATCGATATTTATCATCTACCTAGAAGATCACTTTCTACATGTAATCGGTCCCAAATGCTTCTTTACTTTGAAAACCCCAAACAACAACATATAAAAACCCTAATTACTGTAATAATAAAAAACTAGAGTTTCAACAACGTACATTTCGATTTGAAATGCAGCAACAAACAAACAAACTTCAAAGTAGAAACGCCTTCTGAAATGCAGCAACAATTACGCTTCGATTTCAAAAACTCTATCTATTTTCAGAAGAAATTTAGCTATGCATTTATATTTACACCGGATATGTTATTTATATTTAATCGATACAATTACATAAGTGTCGATACTTTTATGTGAAGTGTCGATACTTTTTATAGAATATTTACCTATTTCTTTGAAAGTGTCGATACTTTTTTACGCGTACTTATTAAAGTACCGACACTTTCAACATAACTGGTAGCACTTTACCGGGTTTGTCATTTCGATATCGGTTTTGTCATATTTTTACCTATTATATTGTTATGGATCGATACATTTTCATAAAGTATCGACATTTTTTAGGCGCTATAACTTATTCTCTTTTAAATTACGAAAGTGTCGATACTTATATTAATTTATCGACACTTTCAATATATCCGGTAGCTTTTTACCAGTTTTATGATTTCAAGACCTGTTTTGTCATATTCTTACCTGTTATATTGCTATGGATCGATACATTTGTATAAAGTATCGACACTTTATAGGCGCTATAACTTCTTCTCTTTTAAATTCAAAAAGTGTCGATACTTATATTAACGTATCGACACTTTCAATATACTCAGTAGCTCTTTACCGGTTTTATCATTTCGTGACCGGTTTTGTCATACTTATACCTATTATATTGTTTTGGATCGATACATTTTTATAAAGTATCGACACTTTATAGGCGCTATTACTTCTTCTCTTTTAAATTCCAAAAGTGTCGATACTTATTTAAATCTAATCGATACTTTCGATATATCCAGTAGCGGTTTACCGGTTTTATCATAATGAAACCGGTTTTATCATATTTTTACCTGTTATATTGCTATAGAGCGATACATTTTTCATTTGTATCGACACAAACCGACAAGCTTAGTTTGTCGGTTGCCAAATTTTTTAATATTTTCTTCATGATTTCCACCTACAACATTGTTATTACTCAATATTTCCGGTAGCGCTAAACCAAATTTGTTAAATATATTATAATGTATCCGGTAACGTTGTATATTAGCCGTATATTAACGGGCCTTTCCTGAGACAACTCCTTAACCTTCTCCACCTTCTCTTTCATTTTAAAAGTTACCGGCTTCATTAAATTTTATGGGATTGAAATAAATGTATGAAAATGAATAAGAGTAACTATGTATGCAATTACTATAAATCTCATTCCCCATAAAATATATGGCAATCCTAGGATTGCCGAACGCATGGCTTGAATTATCATGACCTAGGTGTACATGTACGCATCATGAGAACATAATTTCATGGAGAGTGGTTTTTAAAGTTCTCGTTTGCCAAGTATGCGAAGAGCGGAAACAAGATATTTCATTTCCATTAGAGTATCATACATATGACATTGATGTTGCCTAAATTATACTACCCTAAACAACAAAAGCCCAGAGATATCCAACCAAAATGACACAGCTAAGAATATTAGAACTCCTGCTAATCCGAGTTTCTTAATCCGAACTCAGCTTTTTTAGGGGACTTGGTGGCCTTTGATGGGGATTTGGGTTCTTTCGTGGCCTTTTCAGTCTTCTTCGGCAACAAAACAGTGTTGATGTTTGGTAACACTCCACCGTGAGCAATGGTGACGCCAGTGAGGAGTTTGCCCAGTTCATCGTCATTCCTCACGGCGAGCAGCACGTGTCTTGGGATGATACGGTTCTTCTTGTTATCACGTGCAGCGTTTCCGGCCAATTCCAGGACCTGAATTGAAATCCCAAATTAAGAATCATAAAAGTAAAGAGGATGTGAATAAGTTTGACCATTTAATTTAAACTTCGGCTACCTCAGCGGCTAAGTACTCGAGAACAGCAGCCAAATAAACCGGGGCTCCAGTTCCGACCCGCTGCGAATACCTTCCTTTCTTCAAATAACGGCCGATCCTTCCGACGGGGAACTGAAGTCCAGCTTTGACGGACCTTGAAACAGGCTTCTTCTTGGAGCCACCACCTTTCCTTCCTCCAGCTCCCTTCTTTACTTTTGCTGAACTGTCCATTGCTCCTATGCTTCGAAACGAGAAGATATTGATGGGTACAAAAGGTTCGGACCTAGTCAAGGTCCGACAATTTTTTAGATGTGGATATGTACGAGTTGGAGCGAAATGGGTAAGGAATTACTGCCGTTAGATGGGAACTTATCGACGGTTTCAAATCATAGTTTGGCGATCCGCTTGAGTTTTTAATGAACTAATGAGAAACAAGCTTTGAGTTTTTTTAAGCTTTTTTCTATCATTCAAAAATAAGTTGGGCACCATTTACAATTTTTTTCCCGCTTCTGGAATTCAGGATTTTAAAAGTGACTGACAAATATGGGCACAGTTACGCATTTTAGAAAACTACGTCGTTTAGGATTTTTGAATGCAGCTAAACGTAATTGTTTGAGTTGCTGTTATGTTTTAGTTTACATGTTGTCATTTTAATGCTTACAATGCAGAGTTGTTTAGGGTTAAGTAATTTTGTATTTGGGAATGAAATTGTTCTAAGCAACAATAAGACAAATATGATTAATGTTATGTACTTCTAATTTATACCTTATTTTTTAAATTTAACAAGGAGTTTTATAAAAAAAATAGCAAAGTGAGGGATTATTGGTGTAATTAGTCGTTGCACGTTCAATTGCAATATAAGTAATGACAACTAATAAGAAATCTTGAAATTTATCATGTCAATATCATTTTATAGATTAATATTCGATATATTGACAATCTATAATTATATGTATTATTAATGAATCGAATAATGGAACATTATCATTAAATTTAAATTCTTTTAAATACAAATCACACATCATCTACTCACTACGATTATATGTTGATATTATATATATCAATATCATTTTATAGATTAATATTCGATATATTGACAATCTATAATTATATGTATTATTAATGAATCGAATAATGGAACATTATCATTAAATTTAAATTCTTTTAAATACAAATCACACATCATCTACTTCACTACGATTATATGTTGATATTATATATAACTAACGCGTCTTTATATATAATTTATGTCAGCGAGATTTATTGTAGATTCAATGGATCAAAGCGTGCATTACCAAAACACCAATGTTCCCAATAACTGCAACTGGAGGTCTAATTGTGTACTTTAAAGGAGCTATAGATATCGTATGTGGAACTTGAGTTGATGTAATGGTGAGTGTAAGAGCCATATCTTCTTCGAGCGTAGATTCTCAAGGAAATTTGTATTGACGTGCTTAAACTCTGTGCAGATTGCGCAATCAAATTTATGAAGGACAAGAATATGAGAATCCCCATCTAATTTTGAACATAAATGCATATTTTTTCATCAGTTGAGTAGTCAAAGTTCCATGTTGACAAATACAAGGACAAAAAGAGCACATATTCTGAAACAAGATGTTCCATTTCCATTTAGGTAACATACAAATGACATTAGGAATTTTACAAATCTTTCATTCTGCTTTAAAGATTGATCCTCTACGAAACCAAAGCACAAAGAACATACAGCTAAGAAAACTAAAGCACCTAAAAACCAGGTTTTTCTCAATTCAAACTAAGCTTTCTTGGGAGACTTGGTGGCCTTCGATGGAGATTTGGGTTCTTTGGCAGCCTTTTCAGTCTTCTTTGGCAACAATACCGGGTTGATGTTCGGTAACACTCCACCGTGAGCGATGGTGACACCGGCGAGAAGCTTCCCCAGTTCTTCATCGTTCCTCACAGCCAGCAACAAATGCCTTGGGATGATCCTGTTCTTCTTGTTATCACGTGCAGCGTTTCCAGCCAATTCCAGAACCTGAATTAAAGATAAGCCTCATATAACAGATTAAAAAACACATTCAACAATTTAACTTAACTCTCAAGTACCTCAGCGGCTAAATACTCGAGAACAGCAGCCAAGTAAACAGGGGCACCGGTTCCGACCCGCTGCGAATACCTTCCTTTCTTCAAATAACGGCCAATCCTTCCAACGGGGAACTGGAGTCCAGCTTTGACGGACCTTGAAACAGGCTTCTTCTTGGGGCCACCGCCTTTCCTTCCTCCGGCTCCCTTCTTTACCTTTGCAGTAGAATCCATTGCTCAAACGATTCAACAAATTAAACTCTTAACTTTGCAATGTGATTAGTACGAGTGATGAATCAGACTGTTGAGGTTTGAGCATTTTATAGGGGTGGATTTGTAAATGGTGGTGTTGGAGCGAGCGAGGAATAATTGCCATTAGATGTTAACTTATCGACGGATCCAAATTATTTTTTGCGATCCGCGTGAATTTTGAGCCAACCAATGATAAACTAGCTTTTGTATTTTTCAGATCCGAAATACAAATATAGTTTTTGGTTTCCCGCTTCTAGATTTCAGGAATTTAAAGACATTGTTTGTTAAACTCACTTAAACCTTGTCATGGCAAAAAAAAAATTTATTAATATGGACAAGTACAAGCAGTGCAAATCTAAAATATATTAATGCGATAGGTCAACATAAATATAATAAAAAATCATCTAATATAATTCATATATATATTTAATTTAAAAATATAATAAAAAATGTATTTGGGTTAAATCTGAAAAATATATATTAATTTTCTTAACATAATTCATATATATTTTTATTTAGGGTAAACTATCAATTTGGTCACTCATCTATTACTTAATTTATATTTTGATCATTTAACTATTATTTTTTTAAATCATAAATGTTATGTTTTGGTTCTATTTTAGTCATGTGTATTTTTCATTTCTTATGTGACATTATCATATGATAACACGCTAACATCACGTTAATTTTTTAAAGACAAGCGATAAAACATAATCAAAATGTAACGTTATGTATGATTTATATAAATAATAGTTTGATGACCAAAACAGAAATTAAATAATAAATCAGTGACTAAAGAGTAATTTACCCTATTTTTGTATGGGGTATGGCCTAGGTAGGCCTAGGTTTAGATGTCACTGAGTTAAATATAATATCTATTCAAATATAACTCTAAATCATTTCACATTGAAGGCTCACACTCTTGACGTTCCTGATAGTTGAACTCGAAACTTTAAGGAATAACAACAATTTATTTATCACCAATATCACTTGATTGGTGTTGTCATAGCCAAATAAATAGGCATTGATTTCTCTCTATTAATAATGTAAATTCACTTGTTTTGAATTTGTTTTTGCAACAAAAAGAAATTAATTTAATTGAAACCATCCAATTTGTTTTGTATAAAACCAATAAGTTTTTTTTATTAATATTACGTAAGTACAATACTGTAACCCCCAGACCGATGTGGGTAACCCGATCTGATCTGGAATGTCACATTAAGGCCACCGGAGCGACCCAATATAAAAATAGCGGAAAATTTAAAACTTTTATTAAAACGTGTAAATTATAAAATGATTTATCAGTACGAAGAAATAAAACAGATTTTCAGACTCGTATATAAAACAAAATACAATTACATGTCCCCTAATCACATGTACCATGCTCTGCAAACAACGCCAGAAGAACTCCCTTACTGAAGTCGATAGCTGCACTGGTACAATTCTTTTTAACCTGCAATGGTGAGTAATAAAGTGAGCTTCGAAAAGCTCAGTAATACCGAATTATCAGATGATGCTGAAGAACGTGCAGATACAGATAAACATGTATTTCCTTATTGGTTTAGATATCTACAGATCTCTATGTTGGGCAAAAATCCTATTGATATTTCAGGTAATAGCATATAGTATTCATTTCAGATGGAAAAATATTTGGGATGTTTATGTTCAGGAGATCAAAATAAGTTTTCTAGTGTATTCCCACAAAACCATGTAAAAAGATACAGATCTTAAAAAAACATATATATATATATATACCCCCATCCGTTCACATCATAAATGTGTAGGTTCCCCAGAACCATACACCCAACTGCACATGCCATTTAGACCCTGAGCACAAAGCCGATGAGTCTGCAAATAATCTTCCTTCAACAATAAGCCCCCCAGATAAAACATTTCTCCGTCGGTAAACGGAGTTATCAGAAATCAAAACAGAATTCAGATCATATATCAGAATAGAATCCAGATCAAAAATCATAACAAAATTCAGGTAATGTATCATAACATAATTCAAGTCGAAAATCAGATAAAATATTTATATGATTAGGGAACACACCAGAGTTTACAGATATTATTCAGATGTACTGGATAATCTTATCAAGCAGAAAAACACAAATCTTCAGTATGTCGATAGAATGTTGGTATTTTGAATCACTATTGGAATAGATCAATAACTGATGGAATCAACAATTATTCAAAAATGAAACTTGAGATGATAGGGAAGAAATGAAGGTTCATGACATTTACAGTCTTTGTCGGTTGATTTCATTATCAAACAACTCTAGATGAATATTTCCCATAATTAATGCTTGTCGACTGGTAAATACAATATCCTTCCAGGGTATTTACTTTTTAATACCAAAAATTCTTATCCATAGATTATCTTCGGAATCATCGTTGAATAGATTTTAAGGAAACTAACATATATTTCAATGCTCTTTATTTCATTTCCACGCTTTCACGATATCATGATATATTGACGTGCTTGATTTGTAGTACATGTCCTATAAGGACATTACACCATGTATGTTCATTAACGTTTCCAGACCCATTCAAATCACTTATTTAATCCTCAGTCCTTGAGGTTGCTTAATTTATTTAGTAGTCAAGTGTATCCCAGTTACTTCAGAGTTTTTCAGAGTAATTCGGACGTTTCTGAATTTCGGATAAGTATTGTACTTCCGTTCAGTTCAATTTGTTCTTCTTGGTTGATTTGTCTAACGAATATCCACTTCTGAGTACCGAATGTGATCCAAAGTTGAGCCGAGCTGGTTACTTCCAAAATTATCATCAATCCAAACTTAATGAGACAAACCAACATTCAAGTGATACTTATATCATTCAGATAATGATATAACACTAGCATTGGTTGACCACTTATCCGTGTTTATTTGGATTTCTAAATTAATCCAAGACATTTACTTATTCTAGGCCATAAGGGTATTTTGGTCATTTTGGTGCTCAGTTATATTCCATTCATTTCAGAGCTCGAGGATATCCAATCATTCCTGAGCTTGGTGATATTATTGGTCATTTGCATTCTAAGGATATTCTGGTCATTTTACAGATCCAGTGTATTACAATCATTTCCTTACGTCCGATCTTATTATCGAATTCAAACTTATCACTTATTTTAGTCATTTCGAACAATTCTGTCAAAAGAACACTCCCGATAAATTGTTCTTCAGGTTTTTTTCTCATAACTCGGATATTTTCGGGTCAAGTGCCTTCTCATATTTTAAAAACGAAATATCATGAATTTTTCTGTACAAAGACATGATCTTAACAATTTAAATCCATACTTAATCGAGTTAAGTACGAATCCTTAAAGTACTTTCTCATTCAGGGTCAACTCGAACTATTTTACTTCTCAAGGGCATTTTCGTAATTTCTTAACCAGATAATTTCGGTATTAACTCTTAACCAAATAATATAATTTAGAGATCCTATGATTAATCGCTTTCCCGAACATTCTCTGATCTTGAAATGATTCCCTTAACAGATTCCTAGATTCTTGCTCAAATCCTCTTGGGTTAAAAACCGGTTATCTATATTTTCTAAGCAAAACTATAATTTCTTATGCACATCAGTAGTTTCATCAGATCAACATGTCTTTAAAAACCTCTTATCCAACTTCTATAGTCAAATCTTGTCTTTTTATAATATAAGGGTATTTTCATAATTTTACCCTACCGGAGTATTCTCATAATTTCTCATCCAAGTACCTTTAACATTTAACCTTTGAATAAATAAATTATAAGTTATAGATCCAGGTTGATTTCTTTATCACTGAGCACAAAACTTGTAATTTAATTATAACAATCCCTAAATTTCTTATAAAAGTCATCTGAACCATAATCAATTACTGAACCTTTTTATCGTATTCAGATCGAGTGTAGAAATTAATTAACTACACAAATCAGACCAGCATTATCTTAATCATGCATTTACCAATATTCACATGTTCCATAAAACATAAAGAGGTAGTAAAGTATTATCTCGATTTTCGTGCCATACTGATCGACCATATAAATTCCATTCGAACGCCTTTGATCTTTAATTCAACTTTCAATATTTCATCGGATCCATATCAACATAAATTACATAAAAAATGGAGCTTAGTTCCGAAAAATAAATCGAATCGGGTGATAAATCAGTCAAAAACAGCTTACCGTTTTTTAGTTTGGCGGGGACGTCGAAAACATAAAATATGACTTTTCAAAAATTTTGACTTTTTGGTCAAAATCAAAGTCAACTGGTTTGACGGTAATTTTGAGGCCTTCGGGTCCAAATTTCGAAAAACAGAATGCGGAATCGGACTTAGAACGTCAAAAAACGTTAGGATATGTATACCCGGTCAATGTCAAATGTCGTTCAACTCCCGGTTAACGGTCAACGCAGGTCAATGGTCAACTGTTGACTGTTTTACACAAATATCACCCTAACAGAAATTAATTAGAAAAGTAGCCACCTTCTACAAATATTACAAAACTAACACCCGAATTTTACACAAATATCACCGTAACATAAATTAATTACAAAATTAGCACCCCCTACGATCAGTTGCGACACGTAAACAAAGATACAATGTCGGGAAATTCCCGAAAAAATTCCTAATAATTATTTTTAGGCATTTCGAGACACTTATCGAGCTCGATTCACAATTTTGAAAGACGGAGAGCTCGATTCCGAAACATCGAAAACTTTAACTTTCTCACCCCTCCACGCGTCAGCGACGACGGAGAAACGGAGGACACCGGCAGACTCGGAACGATGCAAGAAACACGATGGTGCGAGAGGTGTCGAAAACGGATGGTCGGATCGTCGTGAATCAACGAAAAACCAACTGAAATCAAGTTAATACCGACAATACTTTCGACTGAAATTAACGACGAACGACGAGGATTCACGACAAAGGTTTGAGGGGTTTTGTTTATCGGTCGACAACGAACACGATGGTGATTTCAGTTCGTCGATCGAAGGTCGAACGGTGAGTAGATCGGAGTTCAAAGAGGGGTCGACGGGGGAGGGAAATTAGGAATAATACGCAGAAACAATCGGGGAAAAGGGTTTATAATTCATCCCATAAAAAATAGGTAAACCATGAGTTTAGTCATTAAATTTCCTATACTTCTTAAAATGTTCTGTAAACTTTGAAATTTTACAATTTAATCCTCAATTTCTTCCAAAATACTAATTAAATTCACCCATTTATACTTTCTAAAATTTAACCCCTAAATTGGGGTGTTACAAATACAATAATTGTTTAAAGATAATTATGAATCTTTGAACACTAAACACATACATAAGTATTAGTTGAAATGTACGAACCGAATGATTTTAATGATAAATGAATGATTGTTTTTTTTAGATAATGAGTTATTATATCAGAAATCACATAAGTGTGAGCGTCTAATAGTTTAAAAATTATTTTTAAATAAATAATGTCTTATACTTATCTTAAATTAATAAAAAAATGTTAGTTGAAATTTAACTATAGGGAATAGCATTAAATTGTACACATGCAAGTATGCTCGAAGATTTTAATGTATCTTTATTTATGAGGGTTGAAACATTTAGAGGTGTATACTTAGAAAGTTACATTATAACTGAGTTTATACGTATATTATATAATTATTACAAATATGATATATTTCATCGATCCTTGTAATTGATAAGTCTCGTTGATGTAGATGTATCTAGAGATCTTCAATTACACTATTTAGATCTTAAAAATAGAACAACAACTATAGAATACAGCTACATAGAAGCTTAAATACATCTACACTATTTAGAGTTGTACTCCAAAAGCTAATCATAATTAAATAATTAATTTTTATAATTATTTTCATGTGTAAATATTAAAATAACAGTTATATTTCTGATAATATCATCATTGATTGGTAAAATAGCCAACGATTGTAAGAGATGGTTGGAGTACCTTCTAAGCCATGGGATAGTCTAGGTTAGAGGAATAGTTAGTGAATCGTTTTGTACCTTCGTGCTTGGTCTCATTTTTGTAGTTAAACTTGAAAGAGTGAGAAGAAGAAGAATGTAAGTTTTACATGTGAATTTTTTTTTAATTTCCACGTAATACTTTCGATAAATAGTTAACGGTTGAGAAATTTAAATATAAGAGATCAAATGTAATTAATTAAAAAAATCAATGACTAAAGTAAGTCAGACCGAAAACAAATGAGATTATGACATAACTTTTCCTTTATTTTAAATTGTAGACTAACAGTATATGATGGGACTAGCAGTAATGATGGCATATTGTGACTGACGATAAAGTGTATTGATTAAATAAATAAATTAAATTAATATTTTATTTAAAATTGAAACATCAAATTAGGAAGTATACTACTATACTAATAAGGTGTATTGTTGATATTTAAAATTTTAGTAATTAAATTATCATAAATCGACAACATAAGTATTCAAAAACTTTTTAAATCAATAATATAAATATAAATAGATATTAATTGTTGTAATACTATTGATAAAAAAATAAACACTCGTAAAACAAAAGTTTCAATTTCGATAATTTACCCTCTTGATGCTCTTATTTCACCGACTTAATGTTTCTTCTTGTTGATTATTGCACCATTACTATTAAGAGGGACAACTTAATCGTAGACTTACACCCCACATAATGAAATGTTTCATTATCCATACATCAACATCCCAACGATTTGCAATCAAATCAATACAACATACTCAACCTCGAAATTCTCTATAAGATTTAAATCGTCTGAGCTTCTTCCCCGACCCCCTTTTTGATGCTCATAAGAAAGGCGTCCTCTTGTTCCATGTTTATTGTATTCGGATTTCAAGGTTTTATGGGTTAAAGTGCTTTTCTTTCTTTCTTTCTAGCTTCCGAATTGCCAGAAATTCAATCCATAATTCACAAAAAAAAAAATGTAGTAATTGATCTCATTCAAGTTTAGCAAAGGGATCGAGCAGACACATATTCAGAATACATACGCAATCCTAAAACATAGTATCTAGAGAAAGTTTAAACCACTATTCCTAACTAGATATCCCCAAATTACATTGTTCAAGAAGATGTAAACTTAGTGACGGCCTTAGTCCCTTCAGAAACGGCGTGCTTTGCTAGCTCACCAGGAAGTACAAGTCTAACAGCGGTCTGGATTTCCCTGGAAGTGATGGTCGGTTTCTTGTTGTACCTGGCGAGCCTAGAGGCTTCTTGAGCAAGCTTTTCAAAGATATCATTGATACAACTGTTCATGATACCCATAGCCTTGCTTGAGATCCCGATATCTGGGTGAACCTGCTTCAAGACCTTGAAGATATAGATCTTTTAAGTCTCCGTGCTCTTCTTAACCCTCTTCTTCTTCTTATCTCCGGCCGCTACTCCACTTCATTGGGAAGCTTTTTCCCGGTCTTCGGCTTCTTCTCCGCCGGGGTCTTCTCGGCTATCGTCTTCTTCTCCTCAGCGGGCTTCTTCTCAGCTGGCTTCTTCTCAGCTTTTGGTGCCATTGTTCTTCAGTAGTTGGGAATTGTTTGGTCTCTAGGAAAGAGAAGAATAAGACTTTTTAATTCGCAGGAATAAAGATTAGATGTTTGTGATGGAAGTTAGGCGGTCATTATATAGGTAGGAGTTGAAGCGGGTATTGGACTTCTAAGATTGAGAAGGATCGATGACGTGATAGATTTGAACCGTTGGATGGAGTTGAATTATGGCAGTGAGTTTACGATAGAGGTGGTTTAGAATTTTTGGGATCCATTTTCGGGCGCGGAATGCCGATTAGGCGTTGTCTTCGCGCCTTGGATTACGGTTGACGAGAAGGGGAGATTGACGGATGAGATTTATTTTTTATTTATAAAATTGACGGAGATGGTTGACGTGGTAGGATACTGAAAGTGGATGACATCAGATAGACGCTTCTCTTGCTATTTTTTATTGCATCTTTGTACCTAAAGGGATTGAAATTCTTTTGCTGGGGAACTTGGAAAATGCAGAGAAAAACTTGATAAATAAAAGGGAATTTAATTGGCTATGGTGATGGATATATCACACCAGTTCTCATACATTTCATCAAAAACTAGGATGTCCATTTTTTTTATTTTGATGAGTAAATATATGCTAGAATTGAAGTCGAATATTAATTTCAGCTGCATGTAGGTTTGCATTCCTAAGGGCTATGCCTAAAACAAATAGGAGTACTAAATATAGACAATGTTAATTATGCTATTAATATCTTTCTTTATTAATATTCAAGAAATATGATAAATTGTCATTAGCTGTGTCGTAATCGGATTTCGTCCGGACACAAAATATTTATTTGGCGAGAAAATTGATGTGAATAAATGGTTTTGAAAATAATTTGGGAGTCGCCATCGGCCTTTTGGGTCAGGTAGGTCGAATACCTAAAAAATGCATCTTTTAAAAGAGTTTTTAAGAAAACATCAGTTAAAAGAAAAACTGATCTGCGTTTTAACCAAAAATTCGTTCTTTTTAATAGTAAAAAGGGATTCGTGGTCGGTTACGTTTAGGGAAGGATTAGCACCCCTACAACGCCCAAAATTGATACTTTTTAATTATAAATTGTCTCTATTATTAAAATTTAAAAAAATTCAAAATATATTTAATTTATAATCCTATTATTTCAAAATTATATAAAAATATTTATTTATTTAAAAATATCAGAAAAGGACTTCTAGGTGCCTTAAGACAGCTCTTTTCTTTGATATTAATAAATATTAATTTAAATAAAATTAAATAATAATTTTTTATAATATTTAATTTTAAAATACCAGAATAGGACATCCAGTTGTATTAAGACTGCCCTTTTCTTCGATATTGAAAAATAAATATTAAAATAATTTATTGAAAAAATATAAATTATTATTTATTATATATATTTATGACTACATAATAATAATAAAAATATTTAAATATATAAACAAGTAAAATTAAAACAATAAAAATACAATTAGAACGCTATATTTAAAAGCAGTAAAATAAATGAAAACATTTAAAATTAGTGACTAAATTATAGTAAAATTAAAATTAAAAACCTAATTCATAATTAATCAAAATTATAGGAATTAAACATGCTATTTTTTATTTATTAATTTAGTGACTAAAATAAAATTATATAAAATTCGAATATCAGATTAAAATAAATTAAAAATATAAACTCGGAATTAAAATATTAATTATTAAAATTAATGGACTAAATCTGTTATTTACCCTAAATATATTATTTTAATATAAATGACTAAAATAAATAAAATTAAAATTAAAGATCTGAATTAAAAGGATTATAAACTCGATTTAGTGACTAAAATGTAAAGTTTAAAAATTAGGCTGACTGCGGAAAAGATTTAACTATTATTTAATTACACGAATAGCCCTCCCCGAAACGACGTCGTTCGGGAAGGGCTATTTAAAGCCTAATTCAGCTGGCCCTTCGGGCCATATTTCATTTCATTTTTTTTATTTCTCTCTCTAACTGAGAGAGAAATAAACGCTCTCCCCTCTCTCTAGCTTCCCTCATCGGAGGGAAGCCGGTCACCAGACGGCAGCCGTCTGCCGCCGTGACCCTCACCGCCAGCCACCGCATCCGGTGGCCGAAAAATTTTATTTTTTATCATTATGTAGATCGGACCGTCCTAAGGACGGTTCCGGTGCTTTTTTCTCCTAAATAGCTCTTGATCGGAGCAAATCTAAAGAAATACCTTCGGTTTCCGAAGGTTTTGGTGACGTTTGAAAGGTCTGGTGGCTTCCTCGGTAAGCTTATTTCCTTTCTTTTTGTTTCTGTTTTGGTTTACTGCTGGTTGTGGGTTGTTTATTCTTTGTTTTTGTATCTTTGCTCTCTATTTCTGTCTCTCTCCGTCTCTGTTGTTTTTTTCTTGTTCGCAGATGGGGTGATGGCTTTATAGCCATCACCGGTGTGGCCATCGGACCGGGTAAAAGAATACCCTTCGGTGAGTCACCGGACTCCCAGTGGTGACTCACCCCATAGCCATAACGTGGACGGCTGGCGTTGGAGCTTCTGGAGCCTTCGGTTGGGGCGTGGCAGTGGCTGGAGCGACGTGGAGCGGCGGCAGCTGGTGTAGTCCCTAGGGTATCATAACCCTAGGGTTTCGTCTGGCGCCATCTGGACCGTTGGATCAATGCTAGATCCAACGGTGGAGAAGCAAAGCGGCGTCAGCTGGATAGAAAACCCTAATTGGGTTTTAGGGTTTTTGATTTGGGCCAGTTGGGTCCTTTGTAATTGGGCCGGTCCAATCTGGGCCTGTTTGTAATTATTTTTTAATAATAATAATAATAATAATAATAATAATAATAATAAAATTAGTAAAAAAATTTAGTAACTTCAGTTGCCCCTCTTTGCTCATTCTTGTGTTAACAAGAATAGGGCAAAGACGAAAAGATAAAATTTTTTTTATCCATTTGGCTTCACTTGATTAGTATGGAGATGTTGAATAAATTCTTCTTTTTCTTTCAGATGATTTCTTCTCATTATGAACTTTCCGCTGGGGATGATGTTGACCTCTTTCTTTCTGTGATAGAGTCATTCAAAAGGTTGAATAAGCTCTTCTTATTATGAACTTCTTCTTCTTTCTTCAGATGAGTTCTTCTCATTATGAACTCTCTCTGAAAAGTTGATCTATCGAGTGATGAATTCGAGCGAAAAGTTGAACAAGTTCTTCTCATTATGAACTTCTTCTTCCTTCTTCAGATGAGTTCTTCTCATTATGAACTTTTTCTGGAGAGCTGATCCATCAAATGATGGATTTGAGCAAAAGGTTGAACAAATTCTTCTCATTATGAATTTCTTCTTCCTTCTTCAGATGAGTTCTTCTCATTATGAACTTTCTCTGGCAAAGCTAATCCATCAAGTGATGGATTTGAGCAAAAGGTTGAACAAATTCTTCTCATTATGAATTTCTTCTTCCTTCTTCAGATGAGTTCTTCTCATTATGAACTTCTTCTTCATTCTTCAGATGAGTTCTTCTCATTATGAACTTTCTCTGGCAAAGCTAATCTATCAAGTGATGGATTTGAGCAAAAGGTTGAACAAATTCTTCTCATTATGAATTTCTTCTTCCTTCTTCAGATGAGTTCTTCTCATTATGAACTTTCTCTGACAAAGCTAATCCATCAAGTGATGGATTTGAGCAAAAGGTTGAACAAATTCTTCTCATTATGAATTTCTTCTTCCTTCTTCAGATGAGTTCTTCTCATTATGAACACTAACGGACACTGTTGATCCATTGAATGATGGATTTAAATCTTTGCTAAAATCTTTGAAATTCCTGTTAAAAATTAAACATGGATGAAAATGAATGAAAATGCACCTATTTTTGCAAACACCTAAATATGATGCATGAATGTTAAGTTATTTGATTTCAGATTGGTGAATTGAGTATTTCTTCAATTGTAAAAACCCAATAGATCTTTCTTCTTCAAATCAGAGAATCTATCATCTTTGACAAATGTAAATGTAGATATAATGTCACAAAACCTCTTGAGAATAAAACTCAATAGTATAGGCTCTTGAAAAGCTTGCATTCATGCAACATGTTGATTCTGATAACAACTCATCTGATTATGAAGTGACCTTTTCAGATGATTTCATAGATATCGATAGTTCTTTTAATACCGAGAAATCTTGAATTCTGATTCTGATGAGGAGAATAAACTGTTATACTTGACAAAAATGGGATTCTCAGAGGTTGAAGCTTCAATAGCCCTGGAGAAATGTGGTCCAGATTCATCAATTGCAGAATTGACAAATTTTATATGTGCTGCTCAAATGGCTAAGGTTACTGACACATTTCTTCCGGTAAAAGATGGGAAGCCATTATGCGATGATCCCAATTACAAGAAAAGGCGAAACTTGGGCTATGATTTTTGGGAAAGGAATAAGCAAAAGAAACTTGAAAAGAAACTTCTTAATGAAGATGATTATGCAGTTCATCTTTTAATTTCAATGATTGGTTCTGGGTTTTATATCAAACCAAATCAGATAACTCAAAGAACACTTCCAGAAGATGCTATGGGCATATTCTTCTTCCAAATTCAATGACTGGTTCTGTGGTTCATACCAAACTAGATCAGATAACTCAAAGAACACTTCCAGAAGATGCTATGAGCACATTCATCTTCTAAATTTAATGATTGGTTTTTAGGGTTCATACCAAACCAGATCAGATAACTCAAAGAACACTTCCAGAAGATGCTATGAGCACATTCATCTTTCAAATTCAATGATTGGTTTTACCAAACCAGATCAGATAACTCAAAGAACACTTCCAGAAGATGCTATGAGCACATTCATCTTTCAAATTCAATGATTGGTTTTACCAAACCAGATCAGATAACTCAAAGAACACTTCCAGAAGATGCTATGAGCACATTGCATTTGTTCCAGTTAATGTTTGGACTGGGATATCACAGTACTTATTCGATGTAGAGCCAGAATTTGTAGATTCGAAGCATTTTCATGCTACTACACTAAAAAGGGCTATATTCATAATTTTGCTAATTAAGAACAGATTTTCTCTTTATTCTGCTTTCTCCATGTGCTGATGCTTTTCCATTGACAAAGAAATGATGGCCTTCCTGGGATCCAAGAACAAAGTTGAACTGTTTATAAACATGTACAGGAAGTGCCAAATTGACAGAAAGGATCTGTAAGGATCTTGAAGCTTATGACAATGAGCCACATTCGAGTGTCCAGAAGTATGTTCTTGATGAGTGCTGAAAATGGAATCTAGTATGGGTTGGAAGGAATAAAGTTGCTCCATTTGAACCTGATGAGGCGGATATGCTTCTAGGTTTCATTAAAAACCATACACGAGGAGGAGGATCTGCTAGAGATATGTTACCCAGTGATATCAATGTCCTGTTTCTTTTTGCTGGAATTAGTGCTGCGGAGGTCGCCTTCTACTGTCTTAGTATATCTTTGAAAACAGATGTG